TAGTTACGTTTACTTCGTTACTCTACTACTACTAACTACTACTCTCTCTCTAGTATATATACTATATATATATATATATACTATATATATATATATATATATAGCAACGATATCTAATGGTGGACCTATAATTTAGTTTGCCAAAATTATTTATCATAAAATACTCTTACACAGTAAAAAATGAAATTTTATTATAAATATTTCAAATACTTTGGAAATCGTATTTTGAACTTTTAGGAATCCCTCTAAAATTCAATTTCAAATCTTAAAAGATTTCATTGGTTTTCTATATATAGGGTAAAATATAAAAAATAGGGATTTATGGAAAAAAATCACTCACCATGCCAAAAACATCTAAATCGTACACAAAAAATGATAGATCAATCTCTCTTTTTTATTACTTTTTAGATTTTTTTTAAATGTTTTAATATCCCCGAGTTGTACGTGCAACTCAAGGAAACTTGGCCTCACCCATAGGGCAAAGCATAGTTACTCGGGTGTGTCCAAATCCACGTGGACTCGGCCGAGTCTTCGCACACTAATAGTAATTCGGGCACGCAATTTTCAAGACACTGATGCTAACCATTTCAATCCATTTTTCCTTTTAGTGTTTAACTATAACCAAGGACAACACAACGTGGTACCAGTAAATGCAGCAGCTTATAGGAGTTGCAAGGCCCCAAGTAATAGCAAACCAGCAACCAGTGGAAATGACAAAGTCACTTTGAAGAAAGGCCCTAACTATTTCCTTTGCAGCCTTCCAGGCCATTGTCAAGCAGGGATGAAGCTCCTGGCCAATGCAAGTTAAGAGAGAGAAACCTATCCCTAAATAAGTGTCAATACAAACCATATATAAATATAGTGTATGCTCTAAGTATTGAGCCTAAGTGGTGATCTCTATGTGTATGTGCACTAAATAAATGATCAATGGCTTGGATGACAGTACTTAATCCTCTGCTTTCTTTTCTCCCCACTTGTATCTCTCTATATATATATATATTGGAATCAATCAAAATGGTTAGTGAAAATATTTATGTGATTGGGAATGGGGTTGAGGTCGTGATTGTGGTGGCAGCACTATTTGAGCCTATGAAAAGCTATCCGTCTAGGTTTTTATTCCCCCTGACACATTTGAAAACCACTAAATATTTCTAAAAATGGGTAGGAGCCTATATTCTCCACTAATCTACTCCAAAAAAATAAAAAAATAAAAAAATTGTGGTTATAGTGGTGCCTCTCTCTCTCTCTCTCTTGTTGTACTTGATTCTCTCCCTCAAGCTCTCTCAAGCTTGCATTTAAGAAACTAGGTTTTCAAATGCTAGATTTGTAGAGGGTTGGCTGCTCATTAATTGTAGTGATAATTAGATATACCGCCAATAGCTACAAGATATATGTAGCCCCTTAACTCACTTGTGTGGTTACATGCACCATCAATAGCTACAAGTTAAATGCACTTTTAACTCTTTTGATCCTCCTTTTACCTAAATCTCATAACGGCTATATGACCGTTAGATGCCATACACGCATCATGGACTAGATGACCGCCGTTGGATCCCCCATACGGCATCAACGACTAGATGACTGTGGGTTAGATGACCGCCGTTGGATCCCCTATACGTGCCAGACTAACAAAAAGATAAAGAGCCATGAGCCCAATTTGGGCCGCATAAGTGTAAAGTGGGCCATCAAGCACCCTTGCCATCGCACATGTACGCTATGCGTGCTCCACACATGCATATTTTCTATCCTTTGTATTAAGACTTTATTTCATGAGAATGCGTGCTCTTAAATACAACTCAAAAAACTCTCTCATATTTAATGTGGGACTCAAACCCACATCTTTTTTTCTCTACAAAAGTAATTTAGAAAAAACCAATAAAACCAAAGTTATTGGTTGATATAGACTTAAACATTTGTCAAACAAAAAATACTAACAGTTATAGTGGTGCCTCTCTCTGTATGTGTGTGCGTGAGTAGCATTTAAGAACCTAGGTTTTCAAATGCTTGATTTGCAGAGGATTCTCAAATGTTTTAGTTATTTAAACTTCATTAGAACTAAATTGGCTTATGAAATTGGAAATTTGTTTTACGTGGGATGGACCTCATTTCTACATATGCAGTCCGGAAAGCTTAAAGCATCCATCTTAAAGATGGATGCAAGTAGGTGTTCCAACTAAAAATAATGGAACTAACGGTCCAAATGTTTTTTTACTAAAATTATTATTTTTAGTTTTAAAAATTTATTTTTATTTTTTCAAATTCATGATCTCCATGTCAGTGATTACATGTCCTTTAAATTAAGTCTTAAAATCCATCTCAAAAATAAATTTATTAAGAGGCCCACATATCTACATATGTGGGCTTGGCCACATAGAAACCGGGTCCTATGAAATTTTGTATTTGTTTGGGAAACTGGGTCGGGGCATTGATGGCTAGGTAGGTAGATGCCTAAACATATCATTGGCCACAATCCTAAAAAGTAAAAATAAAATAAAAAATAAAATAGTAAAACTCAAACCAAACAAAAAACATCATAAAAGTTTCCAAATAAACTAAAAATATATAATACATGGATGTAGAAAAAATTGGTTTAAAATACAAGACATTTCATAAATATCCCAAAAAAACGGAAAAATCTAAAAATAACGCATATAATAAGAAAAACCAGCAAAATATTATTAAAAATATCTAAATTACACATAGAATTTGAAGTATTGATTCCACCTTTTAATATGATAATTATTATTTTTTATGTTTTAATCAAACCGAGTTATAACCAAGTATTGGCTTTGCAGGGGCCGAGTTTGAGTACCTTGAGTTTGTGGATAGGAGTAGCTCCCAGTGCGCATGCACTGTAATATTAAGAACGAACGAAATGGAAATTATATAAGGACGCGGTTAGCATGTGGCCAAGCCCGTACATGTATAAATGCGGGCTTGACATAAATATATTTTTTAAATATAATTTGATCTTAATTTTTAATCATGAATATAAAAAATAAATAAATTTTGAAAGCTACAAATAATAATTATATTAAGAAAACAGTTGGACCGTTAGTTATAATTGTTTTTAGATGGGCCACCTATTTGCATCCATCTGTAAGATGGAGTCCAGCCCGTATGAAACAATTGTTGAATATATAATAGGGGATTGTATTTAGTAAGACCATTTATTTTAGGAGTTCACAATAATCCTAAACACCAAATGTAAAATTTGATAGTTTGGGGCATGTCATAAAGTTCTAACTTTTTTTTCATGGAACTTCAAGCCGAGTCAATAGCACACTGCCCACTATTGAGAAAACAACAATGGATGGGCAATAGAAAACATAGAGAATTGAAAGCACCAATAAAAGAAAGCAAAGGAAAGCATTCAACAAATTTGGTTTAGATGCATTTTGTGACCTACATCTACCGGAAAATAATGTAGAGCTCTACTTACTGGTTTAATGGAGATTATAGTGAATACAAGCCCAAAACTCCTCAATCAAAGGAATTTGAATTTCTCTATCTATAAAATCTTTTTTATAGAAGAGTTCTCACTCTCTCACTCTGAACATGCAGCACCCAAGAAGAGTACTCACACTCTCACCCACTTTCTCTCACTCAAACAAAAGGGTTATAAACCCTTTTGCCAAGAAAAGGTTTTCAAAGAACTCCACACATTGCGTTGGATAAATATTCAATCCAATGGCTCATAAACCAGAGAAAAAAGGTCAAATAATCCACACATATATGTGCCAAAAATGGAAAACATGTGATTTAGCTTTACGTATATAATAATCTCACTTAGAAGGTAAATTACCGAACCCCACAATTACAAACGATGCATTATTCTCCGAACCTTTCAGGTTATGTCTCCAAGCGCCTTTTCTACATCTGGTTTTTCTCAGCTAAAACCATTTTACTAACGTATTAGCGAGTTCTTCTTAATGTGGATTTTATCCAACTATAGATCTCCATGTTTTAGGGCTAACCGAATAAAATGGTACTTAACTTTTATGTGTTTTAGCACGGCGCTATAAACCACATTCTTTGCAAGATGAATTGTACTCTGATTGAATACATACTTCTTTTGTCTCACCCTAATTTAGCCAAGCAAATTCTCTGATTCATTGATGACAAGGCAAAAATGTCTTATAAACTTAACATCTAACTAATTACACCACCACTAAGTATAAAAAATGTAGTCAGTAGTGGACCTTGTAGCATATGACATCCTGCATAATCGACACCTACAAAACCAACGACTTCCAATGGCCAACTCCTAAAGCACAAATATGGCTCTTGTATCCGTTTCAAATACCAAATAATCCATTTCATTGCTTTCTAACATTCTCATCCTTGATTAGACATGTAACATGAAACGGCTTCTATTGCACGGGGCAATATCTAGACCAATATAAACCATTGTATACATTGAACTACCCATTGCAAAAAAGGAACGTTCTTCATCTTGATCATGTCTGCCTCATCCATCGATTGGATCTTTTTCGGATAATTTAAATAATGGTGTAGAAACATACTTATGGTCAATTATATTAAAACATTAAGTAATCTTAGAAATATATTCAAATCATCTTAACCAAAGATTACCTTGCTCTCAGTATCTTCTTGTTTGTTCTAAGATCTTTGGTAGAAAAATGCTTCAATTTCTTTAAGCTCATTGCTAGCTACAAAACAGTAAAAGAACCACGTGTGAATATTTTAAAATGTATACAATGACTAAATTTGCAATTATCATAACCTTCTTATTGCATAAAATTGTCACATTTTTTATACCATTGTTTAGATGCCTGCTTCAAATCCTACCAACCCTTTAACTTAAAAGCCAAGTTAGGATTGTTCATGTTCTTAAAACCTTTAGGTTGACACATGTGGATCTCTTCTTCTAGATCTATGACAACCTGCATAACAAGCTGCTTGCAAACCTCCTTGATTCCCTTCTTCATAATTTGGAATATATAATGGGCATCATGGCTATAATCAGACACATCAATGGACCTAAAAAAACAGTCCCTAAAGGAAATTCACCAGCAAATTCATCTGGTTTCTTCTCTTCCTATCACTCCAAGTATCAATCATAGCAGAAACTCCATACTGGATCCATGCATCCTTCTGAACATCAACAATATCCCTCATGATGGTCACCTCTTTTTTCAAAAGAGGCTCTAAAAGGTCACATGGGTTTGGGGGTTTCATCTTAGACCCAAATTGGCCAATTACTTTTACTAAGGTTAGGCGAGCGGTATTGAAAGTAATGCTCACCTAATAAGACCATCTAGCAATATATGGTGCAGTCCTATCTCTCTCTTCCTTCTTGAGTCTATTTTCAATGGTGGTTTGCTTTTTTGTTTTCTCTCGTGCAACCTCAGGGTTAAGCAGGGGGAAAAAGTAATCCATAGGCCCTCTAACCCGAGCCTTCTTAGGCCCCCCACTCTCAAAAGCAAGTACAATTCCCTTTCCCTTCCCCCTAGTTTGGGATTGTTTTACCCTTGACATCCCCATCATGATCACTATCATCATCATTATAATTGACTCGAACCCAAAGATGCATGTCTCTCATCTTTTTTTATTTTTACAAGACTCATAAAAAAATTTATCTCCTCTTTAACAATATCAAAAGCTTTTTTACATAGGGCAACTCCCCCTGATACTGGCAAGATGTTTCTTGAATAGGTTTATAACCCCTTTTGTATCCTTTTCACAAAAATTGCATTTTATGCAATTTTTATCCAAATGATTTGGGTTGTAGCCATATTTTCAACTGGATCACCATTTCGATTAGTTCTCGAAGAAGACATCTCACAATAATACGAACAATCGAAAAAAAAAAAAATTCATTAACTTTGATTGCTCGATCTCTAAACTTCCACTTCTAAGATGTTTTCTAAGGTCAAAATCTTCTAAAAAACGCTCTAATAGACTTATAAAATTTCCAAAACTAAATTTAATATCAATAGATGATGCTTAGATTGATTTCTCGTAACTTTGAGACTCACTATCACAAAAAACTAGTTTTTTGAGGTGTTTTCTCTCTCTAAAACACGCTGTAATGGGATTTAGGGCAACTTAAAATCTACAATTTTCCCTTGTTTTATTAAAAATAAATAAATAAAAATACCTCTCAATGAGGGGCATTTCCACCCTGAGCGGGGTGCCAGCCCAGGGCTGGGTGCTAGGCACCTGCCTAGACGGGTTCTCTGGGGCCTAGGCGGCCGCCTAGCCCTAGGGGAGGTGGTATTTCTGGACCGCCTAGGTGCTAGGCGGTCCTTGTTTTTGAGCAATGGTCATTACCATCGATTATATTAAGGGGCATGAGTGACTGTATGATGGGCTTTGGTTTTTCCATAGGCTATTGGATCATAGTATACTTTCCTTTTTTTTCATATACTTCGTTCTGTTATAGAATTTCTTTATTTGTCAGCAATGATGTTTGTATCTAACACCTCAAATTTGTGCTGATGTTGATGCTTGCATGACAAATTCAACTTACTCGAGTTTAATTTTGAATCCACATATTATATTCCTGATTGGCATGGCCAATTCGTTGCCACAAAAGTCATCAAATTGCAAACTTCATTTTTCTGACTCGAAAAATCAGGAGTTATTAAATCGACATACTCATGGTCACCATGTACAATTTGGTAAGAGTAAGACATTGCCTCAATTGACATGATCAATGACCCGTCTTTTGAAATCTCAAGTCAGCATTATACACAGGAAAAATGGAAGCAATCCCAAACATTACATTTAACATTTCCAGATCCAAAAAACCTTCTGATGATGTGGTGGTCTTTGACTCACATCAGAGTCTATCCCTTTTCTTGGATCAGAGATGCCGCTAACTACAAAGAGATTCAATTTGTTGTGGCCTTCTTCTATCTTCATGGCAATGTGAACCTTGTGGTTCCAATATGAGTGGGTTTAACTGTCTCTCTCACTTAAATCTTAATCCATCAACTTGCTTTGATGTTTGTGTGCCCCCCCTTGCGGTCTCTCTCTCTCTCTTTTGTGCTCATTAAGCTTAAGGGGATTAGATTTTTTCATTCATTCCCTTGTCTGCCTCCAAACTATCTTCTGTCTGGAGGCAAGTATTCAATTATCGTAGTAGTGTTCTTGAAATGGTAAGGGCACGGTCTTCACAGCTCTGAACTTGCCCACATTATTTAGATGTTCATTCTCCAACCTGGTTGGTAATATAGTTAGCATATTAAACCAAAAAAGAAATCATATAATCATGTAATTGTTAATGGACAATATGATTCCACTAAATAATGAGGAAACTATATGTACCTGTAGAAATTCCAATGCCCACGGCGTATTATCTCCAATGAGGCCATGAAAAAATCGAGAACTCGAGAGTCAACTCTCCCAATGTTGAGGTGCATCACTGTTTCGACCCAGACCAGTCTCAAAATGAAATTGAAAATCTGTAAAAATTCCAGTTTTGCCATGATATATCAGATATAATCTTCTTCTTATCATTGCTTTTTTAGCTATAGTTGGCAAACAAGGTGGTGTATTAGTTTAAAATTTCATTCTTTAGAATTTCATGGAGATAATTTCACTGGGACTCTTGAAAATTTGGATTTTTCTCGAGAAATTCTAGTGAAAATATTGGGACAGTAAAAACAAACAAAATGATTCTATAAGTAAAAGAAGCTATACGTATAAATAGTTGCAGACTTTGGGAATAGCTGGCCGAAGTATTGAGGGAAAGTTTTATTTTGAGCATGTCTCATGAAATATAAGTATAATGCAGTTTTAAAGAATTTTCTCAATAATTCTATGAAATCTTTCAAATATTGGAAAGAAATTGATTACTTTTTGAAGGAGGAACTTTGAATTAAGCCTTATGAAAAGAAGTACAATTAAATAACTAAATATTGTGATCGTTATAGAGGTGAGATAATAACTCACAATGGAAGCATAGTAGATGCTGTTGTGCTTTAGAATGAGCTCATCTCTTAGCCATGGGTTCTTGGATTTGGGGTTAAGTAGCCCCCAGTCCTTAACAAAATCCCAGTATAACTGATAGATAGTTGCCATTGTGGAAGTGATTATGACCAAAGCAAACCATGTTGGAGTGGGCTGCATAGCATATGTGAGCCGAGCACCCGCTGCCAACATGGCAGATACGTACTTCCCCAAGTTGGCCACGTGGTTGATATCACCTTCATCGAACCATCTTCGTGCACACTTGGTGTCACAAGATCACGACACGTGTCAGCCACAGATAACGGGGATTTTCATAAAAAAAAATCATAGATATACATGAATGTAGACATACAACTACTACTGCCAGTAGTAATGACTATGATTAATAATGATGGTGGTGGTGGTGGTGGTGTTAGTGATGATTTACTAGCAGTTATAAGTAACCATAACAATAAATAAAATATCAGGATCCTGCTTTGTACATGTGATGTAGGTAGTCTTAAGAGCTTATGTTGGTTCGGAGAGTTGATGTATCAAAACAGTTCTCAAACCTGTCAATTTGTTGGATGACTCAATTTGGTCCGATCCAATGTTCGAATGAACCTTGAAACAGGGGCCTATAACAGTCATCTTTAAAATTCAGCAAGCGTAAGTACTATTTTCATATTTCAAGTTTCAGGACTAACTAAATGTTTTATAGAGGCACTCCAGGTGCTGCCCAGATATATCCTAGAATTATAGCAGTGGTAGTGAAAGATTATAATGATAGAGTCATGGTTATACCTGCATGGCTCTCCAGTAATATGGCAGGAAAGAGATGACATAGGCCAGTTCCTTGTAAAGCTTGTTATTCTTACAGGTTTGATATTGATGGGTTTTGAAGCTCCCTGCAAGATAATAGCAGGCTGTAAACTCCATGTGTCTTAGCAATGGCACCTGCAAAAACAAGTCCTCCCACCCATCAATTGTCATATTCTTTCACAATCCTCCCAAAAATGAAAAATTACCCCATCTTTTTTCAGTTTTCTTTAAGTATTTTTTCATTTTTTTCACTGTATAGTACAATGTATTCAAGTATTTTAAGTATTTTTTCCTTTTTTCACTGTATAATACAATGTATTCAAGTATTTTACCTGACTTGTTAGCTGATCTGCCATGAAAAAGTCCACCATCAGTACCTGCAATGTACATAGGGAGTGACATGAATTTATGTCCAAAACGGAACACAAAAGAAGAGAACACTATGGAGAGAAATTGGAGAGCGAAAGAAAGGGTAGTCTTGCCTTGTAGAAGGGTGAGCATATTATGTTCCGGATAACTCGCAAGAAGTAGTACCGGCTGGGGCGGTAGAAGACATTGAAAGGACAAATGAGAAGGCCTGTGAACACCTGAGAATAAGCCATTAAGATTAGTCCATAGGTTGACAGCTAGTGTAAAACTTTTGTCACGTCTCTATCATGAATCCTGATGATTAACTTAGTGACTAATGTTAGCTTTTTTCTATATATGGATATGTATAGATCTGCATATGTGCATGTGTTGCGATTTAAGAGACAGAGAGTGATCGATACCAACAGAAGGATGCCGGGTAATGTATCGACAGTGCTAGGAGGGTAGCCCTTGGCACGCAAGACGAGGTGCGTGACCATGCCAGCGACCACCAAAGTCATGAAGGAGGTGCATATAAGGAACACATCCCTGTACCTTAGAGAATTTCCTGGAGAGAAATCAAAGATGAAGTTGTTGTTGATCCTTGCACTTTGCCAAGTGAAGAGGTTGCACCCGTACAAAAACATGTGCAAACTTAGTAAAGCAAACATGCTGCACACGTGAGAATTCAAAAGTTAGAATAGGCTCAGTGAGATGGTTAAGATTCAGATTATACACAAGATAAGTGTACACTATACAGAGCATATGGCTTATGGTACACAACTAGGGTATCCACCATCCTTTCCGAGTGATGGATTGTGGAGAGAGCATTGTTGTCTAGTATTTATGGTGACCGGTTTGATCCCCATAAAACCTTATTTTTTATATTTATTTATTTATTATTTTTGGATCACTGATTTGATTCGATCCAGATCTGATTCGGATTACTAATTCAACAATGTAATACATGTCTATGGGTAAACGTTCCGCCCCATAGGGTTTAAAACACTTAAACCATAAAGTGAACATGAAATGTGGAATCCAGGGTACTTTGGTAAATTAACTTCTATTAAAGTTGTAATCGGTAAATTAACCATCCAACGGTTTGGAACCACATATTAAATGAAAGATATTTTTGGCCTTCATCGAATATGTTTTCGAATATTTAAATGTTTGAAAATTCTTCGTAACGGACCATCGGATTCCTCCCGAGGGAGCATACTGTCAACTTGTTCCCTCGGATGAAAAAAATCCATTTGGAGGAATTTTTGAATTGGAAATTTTTTATCCACTTGAAAATCACAAGATGATTAATTTCAAAATAAAATTTTCGTTTTTGGGTACTCTTTATAGTTAGATTTGGTTGTCCAAAATCTACTTCCATTTTTAGGATGTTAATTTTTTTTTTTTCTTTTCAGGGAGACAGATGCTGATTTTTTTTTTTTCTTTTGAAGTTAGCCCTAGGGTGAAAAGAAACATCGCTAAAATTTGGTGTCTTAACAATGCTCGTGTGTTAAAATTTTCCCGATGGAGTAAATGGATAGTATGCTCCTTTTAATGGTGTAAAATATTTTGGCACGTTGTAGAGGAAGCGTCGAATAGACAGGTGACCCGTTATCTTGGCTTTTGAGAAAGAAAATAAGAGAGAGAGAGAGAGAAACTGAAAAGATGTAATGGTGGGCCCAAGCTGTGTACCTGAAAACAGGGTAAACGGTTTCCATGTAACCAGCTTCAGTTGTAGTGGTGGTGGAGTACATGCCGGAGAGGTGAGCCAAGAAAGCATACACTGTGAATAGCGTTACGAAACACCCTGTAAATAGCCCTGCAACCACAACAAAAAGAGTACAAAAAAAAGGCCCACAAGTGTGTAAGAGAAGGAGAGAATTGATTTCAAACCAAATCATAAATACATAAAAAGTGAGTGAATGGAACATTTGTCAAAAAAAAAAAAAGAAAAAGGAAAGAAGGAGAAAAAGAAAGAGCGACTGAATGAGATATGCATTTGAAAGAAGGAGAGGGAAAGGATGTGTAGGGGTGAATCGGATAAGTCGACCCGATCCACTTGATTTGGACTTGATTGGGTCCCAATCTGGTTCAACTAGCCAGGTCACGTCAGGAACTAACCTAACAGGGATATACACACACATACACACGTACATGCATATAGTTTAATTTTGACTCAGACCTAACTCGACCCGACCACCAGATATAATCCGAAGCCACTTGAACATGATCGAGTTCAAGTCTAGAACCAGAGACATTTACACCCCTGAATACTAGATAAACAGAGAGAATTTGAGAACCTAATTAAAAAATCAATACTCGAGAAATTATGCAAAAACATGGTTTGATTGTTGGATAGGAAAAATATAATCATGGTGGAAAAATGTTTCGGCTTGAGTTTTATTTCTATCATTAATATGGGATCATTCAGGTGTAAAACTAAAGAGAAATCATAGAAAAATTTGTAAAAAAAGCACAAAAAGGGCAAAAAGGTGATTTGGTAAATAAAAATCTTTTAATTTTGAGAACTAAAATTTACCAACTAAAAAGGTGATGATGTGTGAATCCCTGTTTGGTTGAGGCCTCAAGAATTTCATGGCCTTTTTGCGTTCATTGTTGGCAAAATGCTTAGTGAATATGGACTCCACCTCATCCATCAGTCTCACCACCTGTACACAATCCCCAAAATGTGAATAATATCTAATAAAATAATGCATGAAAATATGAATCAGTGGATAACTAGTTAGGAGCGTGTAGTGTGTGGGAGCATACTGTAAATTTGCTCTGTTGGGAAAAAGAGCTACTTTGGAGTAGTTTTTTCAATTCTAGGGTCTATTTTAGACTCAGTGGAGTATTAAAATAATAATAATAATAATAATTTGGATTTTTGAGTTTCTAGTTACTTGCATCTGTCCAGCCATAAAGTTGGATGAACTTTACTGGATTTTAAGACAGTTTTTTTTTTCATGCACATAGGCATATCAATTTTTTCGTTGGTCTTCTGTTTTTTATTTATTGAGGAGGTTATATCCCAAAGTTATAAGTTTTAAAAATACTCTGGATATGAGTGAATGGACAATATATTCCTCAAGAATATAATCCTTACTTTGGTATCTTTTTTTATGTACCAAATTTGATTTTCGGGATATTTATTCCAGTTTTTTATTTGAACTTACTTTTTCATATTCAATGGATTTTTGTATCCTTAATTTCATTTTAGTTTAATTTGTTTCGGAAATTGGGCTAAACTATGTGTTTAAATTTCCTTTCACTTTTTTAGAATTTCTCGGAGTCAAGTTTGATCAAGGATTTTAATAATCAGTAAGTTGATTTAGAATCTCTCGAGTTGGCTCAAGAAAAAAAGATCTGAGGTTCGAATTCCTCCCCTTATCAAGAACCTGCCACTCCAATTTGGATCTTTCTAGAAAAAGAAATCGAAATTTTTCTTAGACACCTTAAAAGTCCCACTCTCACATAAGAAACGATTGGTAAATTAAAAAAATTCTCCAAGATTCCATATTGTAAAGCAAAAAGCATAGAATCTACGGTCTAGATTGCTCAGGAGCAAATATTGTTTATTGAATCTTAAACGTTTATAAGGGGTACCCGTTATCCCACGTGTGTACAAAGATTAGCACGTGTGAATATACCTTGTCTGAACTTATGAAATATGATCTCTTCACAGCTTTAAGGTAGGTTGAGGAAGCTTCTTGTTTGGAAACCTGCATAAACCCATTTAATTAGGAAAAATGGTGCCTAATTAATATTAATAATCAAAAAATAATGTTAATTACTTAATAAAGTGGTAAATGGAGATTTATCGATGTTTTTACGGTTAATAGAATTTATACATGGTAATTACTTAATAAATAAGTATTAATATAATATTTAATTGAAAAGTTGAATAAATTGGAAACAAAAATTTAAGGGTGAGGTTTCTATAAGGTGCCAACCTTATGCTATATAAGTAGGTACACCGGTGAGTTATGCCAGAAGATAGAATTTCAGTGTCAGAAGCCTTACGGTGGTTTAAAAATTTATGGTCAACCTTAATTTTGAAATTTAAAATTTTAAAAATAATGTAGATTGAATAGATCTATAAATAGTTAATAATATTGAAAACAGGAGGTCAATATAACTTGTTTCAATATGTATGATTTTCAGGACTTAAAAGTTTTTTATTTATTTTTCTTTATATCTATACATCTCGAGGTTCGGATAATCAATTGGATGGTTTTCCGACTTAGGACACTCTTTTTTTGGATTTTTTGAGGTGCACCTTACTTCAATAATATAAGACTGCAACCTTATATTTCTAAATGGTAGAAATAGTCAATGAGTAGCAACCCAAAAATTCTGAAAATCTGCCCCCAAATTAAAAGGAAGCATAATAAAGACAAAGAGCTTTGCCCTTTTCTTTTTTTTTTTTCTTTTTCTTGTTTTTTGTTTGTTATAGATTTCATTACCTTTCTTTCCTTTTCTTGTCTTTTTTCTTTGTCTCTTTTTCAAAAATTAATAGTATTGTTGAACGACCGCCTGAAAAAAACGACTTCTCCCTAAAAAACACACTCTTCATGTGACCCCGGTGCCTTCTCGGCACTCGTGCACACCTTTTTTTGAACACCACACGTGCTCAAGTTAATCTCAACAACTTGAAAATGGAAGAAACGCCCTTAGTTTTTAAGAGTTCAAAAATATCAATTAAAGTCTTTTTGCTGCTAATATTTATTCCAAAATAATTTCCTAAACTGACAAAGAATTAAATGATTAAAATAGAACAGTGATTAAAAAATCGCCTATTGCCCGAGCCGGATCAGAATGGTAGACGGGTGACTCCTTGGACTAATATACTTGGAGAAGTTTTTTTTCTTAATCTTCTTTGCTAAAATAGCCAGATTTGACCCGTGAATTGCCTAACTTGAACCAGATGGATTGGAATTCGACACCTGCTAGTTTTGAACTTGATTCTGATATTCGAATCATTGAAATGGGCATCCCAACCCAAATATTTTGCAGGACACTCTCTTTTTTATTGTGATTATTATATTTTATTTCATTGATTGAAAAATAATTAAGTTTTAGTACTAAAAAATGAACTCAAAAGATAGCTGCTCAGGGTGGTATGTGCAACAATATAACATCTTAAATTCCATTTATATCATGGCAAAAGACCCGTTACTTTTCTGCTGCCCTACCTAAAAGAAAAAAAAAAAAAGGCAATTTTTGGTACTAATAATAAAATATCTTATGGGGCAGAAATTTCAGAATTTTTACAAAATTTGGGCTGAACTTATTTGTTTTAGAAGCAAAAGTATTACAAAGTTCAAATAATTGTCTTTTAGTTTAAATTTTGAAGCACGAGTAATTGTTAAATTGCAAATATTCGACGCCCTTTTCTTGGCTAAAATCCGGGGACAATGGCACATGCCACTATTCTCACTTTATTTTGAAACTCCGACCGAAATTTAACGAAACTTTACCGAAATTGTGAATAAAAATAATCCTTGTCTTATGTCCAAATGAAATTAAAAAAAAAACATCTAGTCACCCCAATTTTATGGGTTAACTAGTCCTTCCAAAAAATAATAAAAAAGTTTCTAAAAATTGTCCTAAAAATTTAAAGAACGTAAAAATAAAACTTTATAGAGAGAGAAAGTCTCTCATAAAGTGTGAGTACCTTGTCAAATTTCTTGAGTATCTTGGTAAAGGCCACCATGTTGAGTGAGCTGCCAAAGATAGAGAGAGAATGAAACATGAGCCGCTCCTAAATTTAGAGAGAGAGACAGAGAAGAGAGAAGAGAGAAGAGAGAGAGATCTAGCATAAAAGGCCACTCACAGAATCCTAGAGAGAGAAAATATAAATAGAAAACAAACTTGGGTTTGTCGTGTAATCGTTAGAGAGAGAAATTTACTTGGGCTTGTCATAAAAGTCTTAAAGAGAAATATAAGTAGAAAACAAACTTGGGTTTGTCGTAGAAATACTAGAAAAGTTTTAGAGAGAGAGAGAGAGAGAGAGAACCTGTAAGTCTTGAGCAGGCCCAAGCCTTTATAGAGCTCCACAAATGCTCCCCTTATCATCTTCTGTGCACACTGGATCTTCTTCCTATTAAGAGACTCAAAAGCTGGCTCTTTCTTGGGGTGATTAATAATATCTTCCCAAACGTTCTGAGTGATGGCCAAGATCGCCTTCGTCGGAGTGGTCGCTGGAATTTCGATCCTCATGGCGGTTTTCGGCTTCCCTTTGATTTTCAAGCTCTCCTTCTTGGTCTTCAACCTCGTGAATCCGGCAAATGTCTCATATTCCGGTGAGCGTACGGACTCGTCGGTTTCAGTCATGCTTTCTGTCACATGAGAAATTAAAGTTCGATTCTCATGTAACTCCATAGCAAAGTCTCATGAATTGAGGAGGGAATAACGAACATAAAAAAAAATGAAAAAAAAAAAAAAAAAGGATTGAGAAATTAGAGGTAATTTATTTTAGAGTGGAGAATTGAAATGAAAAAGAAGAGCAAAATGGGGGAGAAATTGTAGTTCAAAAAAAAACGAAAAATGGTTGAGAAATTATGTTTTCATTGTGGAGTATGGAGCATAGATGAGAAAGCAAAAGGGAGAGTGAGCTAAGAAGTGGCGTAAAGAAATGCAATTTTATGGATTTTAGACTTGAATTATACGTTAAAGAAAAAGTGGGTTTTTTTAAGAGAGACAGAGAAAGAGCTTTCATCCTTTTAGAGAGATAGAAAGAGAGGAATTGGTTTCATCCTTTCCATGTGGGTATGATGTAGTTGGAAAAGTTTAGATATTTTCGATGATAGGAAAATATGAATAAATATCAAACCACTCTTCTGCAACTTTTTTTTGATAAGCAATGGCAATCTTTTAAACACACTCTCTCTAAAAATCGAACGACTGGAAACGATCCTAATCGTTGGTTTTTTATACACAAAATGCTGAGAACTCGAACTCGTGGGCTACCCGAGCCTTTTTACTGTGACGCATGCATCAAGTGACGGCCCCTTTCTCTCTCTTATAAATGCAGACTCACACTTGTAGATAATTTTCGGCATCAGTAATTAACTAATAAATACTGGTTTTTCAAATTTTTTATGGAATCTCTCTCTCCAGTAATTAACTAATAAGCCCTGGTTTTCAAAGTTCTCATGGAATCTCTCTCTCGCTAAACACTCACCTTGCCATTAACGTGCCTTAACTAAGCTTGATTCCCTAACTCAATTCAAATTAATTCCCTGTGTCTTAATCATGACCATATTGATAGTATAAAAAAAAAAAAAAACTCAAAGTTTCATAATCAAGGGAAAAAAAAAAAAAGCCAGACCAGAGCAGTCTGAGCTTCTCACTGATGATGAATTGGATCGAGGCAAGCATCTATGGTGGAGAATTCTCTTCAAGTCAAGCAATATTTGCAGTTGATTATTCAATATCTCTCCTCTCTCTAAGAACTCCCCTTCTTTCACCTTATAGAACTTGTTAACCTTATTCAATTCTTCATCTAACATCTCAAAGAACACTTTCACCTCATCATCCTCTGTAAACAGTCGCACCAAATCGGTCTTGAACAACCCTTCTCCCTCTCCCTCATCACCCTCTCTCTCTCTAACCTGAAAACAGAGCTTTTCTCATTAAAAACAGACATAAAATGATTTAGAGAGAGAAAAAGATAGAAATGGAGAAAAACCCACCTCAATAATCTCATGTCTAGGGCCTCCAGCTATGTAACTCGAAGCCAATCTCCACAGATTGCAGGCACGGTTCAATCCTGTGACTTCACAGGTTTTTGCAGATGCTTTCATGGAGAAGAGTATTTTGACCTTTTTCACATGTTTCTTCAGTTTCCAGTAGTTTACGAAGGCGTCTTTCCATTCAGGAATCAGTTGGGCTTCAAGCTCCTTTGAGAACTTCACCATTTTCTCTCTCTCTCTAGAATTTCTGAGAAGAAAGAGGGGAAATGAGAGAAGGTTTTCTCTTTCTCTCTCTAAAATTTACAAGAAATGGGGTTTGTGAGGGGTTAATATTTATAGAAGATGGGATGAGATGGACTGCATTCACCAATACGATGCCATGCATAAAGATGAGGAGTTTCACAAAAAGTTTGCCTAATGGCAAAACGACTCAATGACGAAATTGGCAAAACGACTCAATGACGAAATTACTCCTCAGTTTTTGTTAATTTGACTAATCTGCCCTTACTTGTAGAACCTGTCCATTTTGCTCACTAGGCTACGAAAATGGCTCTTCGAACTTTTGGGATATCAGGAATAACCCCCATTTGTGCTTTTTTTTTTTTTTGGGTGAGTACCCTCATTTGTGCATGATTTTACCGTTTGAGATTAATGTGTGAGGGTAATATTTAAATTTTCGAAAATTTAAATTTCGAAAATTTTACCGCATCTTTTTTTGTTTTTTGGTGAGTTAGTGCGGAAAGGGCCTTACCTTTGGTAGGAATTGAGTCTAGGAAATAGCCTTTCAATTCATCAAGAGCTAAGCAATTAAGCCTGGGCTCTTTTCCTAAGCATTGCCTGTTTTTAATATATTTGAATTATATATTTATTTTTATGTGTATTTCTTTGTGCATGTTTTGATTGCTTTCTTGTACTTTAAAAGTGAGAAAGCTTTTTATACTTCTCTTAGAAGTTATATACTTCCCTCTCTCCAGTCGTTCGGTCTGGATAGACGGTTGAGATGGGCCTCTATATTATTTTATTTTAATTTTTTCTACAAGACATTTTGATGATGTTTTTAGGTGCGCTTTATTTAGATGATGGCATATGCCAAATTTTGTATTCACATGATTTATAAATAAAATAAAAATAAAAGATTATGAGGTGTTGGATTTAGATAAAACAATATGTGATTCACTTTATCTAAATTGGCCAATTGATTGGGGGGAGAATATATAACTTTTATATAGTAGGGGAAAGTAAATAAAGCTTTCCCTTTAGAACTTTCTTAGATATGAAATATCTGACTATTTGGAAAAGTGTAGAAGCAAGCCATTGTCTCATAATTTCTCCATTCAAAAGAAATCAATACGTCAATAAAACACCATATAATGGCACGCATATTTATTTGTGCCTTTTGGACTGAAATAGGTCATATAAAAAAGGTTGAGGTTTGTATAAGATGCCCACTTCTCTCTCTCTTTTTATTTATTTATTTATTATTATTATTATTATTGAGAAAGTAGGAGCTTCAGGTAATAAAAGGATTACAAAAAAAAAAAAAGAAAAAAAAAAAAAAGAAAAAGAAAAACAGAAGAAAGAAACTAAACGAAGAGGAGAAGAAAAAATGAGAGGATAGACAACACAGTCAGTCAAGATATAGCATCATTTGCCAAGAGATCCGCCTCAGAATTGAAACCTCGATTTGGGTGTCAGAAACTTTTTGATTGTTTGAAAATCCATATTCAACCTAGATTATGAAATTTAAGATTTAAAAAACAGAGCATATCTATAAACACTTAAAAATCATAGATGATCTAGTTTGAAAATCCATATTCAAACCAGATTATGAAATTTAAATTTAAAAAAACAAAACTGATCCATAGACACTTAAAAATCTTGAAAATAGATGGTCTAGATTTGTTATAAGATGAACTTTTTTTAGGACTTGAAATTTATTTATTTTTCCTTTACATCCAAACATCTCTAGGTCGAGATGAATAATTAGAAGGTTTGGGACACTTTTTTCCTATTGAATTTTTTAGGTGCACCATACTTTTATACTATAAAGTTGCTACTTTACATAAACTTTTTCTTATAAAAAAAGTGTAGCAAGATAGACCCATGTAAGAGCTCAAAATCCTTTTTTTTTCCCATATCCATGGACTAACAAGTTGCAAGTTTTCCACCATCAGAACAACGTTTTTCAATGAGATTTGAGTTGCAGCCGCATAAAATCACAATTTTATGTAATACTTTTCCTAAATACGTTTGATTCTAACATGGCTAAAATTCCCAAACATCGGGAAAAGAATAAGGATGCAGTTTCTATGAGACCAAGGCCTTATGAAAAAAACAGAGTAAGCATCAACTCAAAACCTCGTCCAAAAAACATTTCAATCATGGGTTATCCGTATGAAAGGCTCTAAAATCTATTTCCAATACTGATTATAAAATTTGTAGCTTAGAAAATGGTATATATCTTATGGATTTATGAACACTTGAAAATGGACAGATGATCTATTACAATATATACTGTTTTTAGGACTTGAAATCCTTATTTACTTTCACAACGATAATGATCAACCTGAAGTTGATTGATTTGAAGGTCTTTTTTTTATACTGAAACTGTAGTTTTTGGTGAGTTTTGAGGTAAGGCCTTACTTTTTTTCTAAGACCTGAGCCTTATTTAACATTTTCTAAAAAATAATCTTAGATGAGCATTAATGATATTAAATAAACTTTTCAAAACTTTGGTGGTTTGAAAAGAAGAACCAGGGCATAAAATTTGACAAATTATGGATCATGTTGTAATTCACATTTGTTTTCTGGGTGCATGGTAGAGGCAAGCCCGAATCTTTTTTGAGTCGGGCAAGGCTCGGGCATCAATTGGTTGGCTTCAAATTGGGCCAGGCCCCAAAACCCGAATTATGGGCCTGGGCCTAGCATATGTTTGGTGGGCTCGGGCTACCATGTTTGTCCCAGCCCGTGCTTGGCCCATCAATAGCCGTTCTTCGAAGACCACCTTTGTCAAAATGCTTACTGTTATGCCACTTGGCGCCTAGGGGTGGCAATGAACCAAGACCCATTAGGTCCACAATTGGACTTGGTAGGTTGGGTCTAGGCCCAAATTTTGGACCCAAATACTATGCGGGTCTAGGTCCAGGTCCATGTAAACTCGAGTGTTAATATTTAAATAAATATAACTATATATTTTTATTAAAAATTTATAATATTTAAATAATATAGTTTTTATTTTATATATATATATTTATTGAAACAAAATTTAGGCAAGCCAGACAATTGGTCCGAGTCTAAGACCCCCAGTTTTGCATGTTTCTAACATTTTCTTATTATATATATATATACAACAAACCCCATAGAACCGGCAAGCCAACTCAAAACCTATTGGTGGATTGGTTCTATTTTAATACGCTATTAGAGATGGGATTGTCTATAAAGAGATAATTTATCTTTTGTACATGGAGGTCATAAACTCATTAGATATCAAAGTGGATGGCTTGGGGTGTGTAAGGATGTCTTAAATTTGTTTGTTTTTTTGAAATTTTGTATTTATTCAATGACACCCTTACAATCACCCATTTTGAAATTCAAAGGAAAAGAATTATTTTCACCACAATGCACAAAAGATAAATAATTTCTTTGTAGATAATCCCCTAGATATAATAGTTTAAAAGTACTTTTTTTATTAAATATTAGGTGAATTAAAGATGATTTGAAATATTTCAAGTCAAAAAGATCCAATCTTGGTGTTTTACTTGCAAAACCAAATTTAAGGACCTGGATCTAAAGCTGGCAAGCATTGCCTCGTTTGTTTCTTTTAATGGCAAAAAAAATCGCACTGATTACTAAAGGCCAAGGTTTAAGAAACCAATCGATGCCCTGAATCGGCCATCGCAAAAATCGTGTCGGATCAGTGGATTGGTAATCTGGATTGAAGAATCGGCCGAGAAATCTAGTTTTTTAAATTTCTAAAAGAAATAATGGAAATTACATTATGATTTTTATTATTGTGTAAAAAAATTGTAAATATCGAGAACCTTCTTATGTTAAGTGTTTCTTGTCTATTAAATTCATATTATAATCAATTAAAATTTAAAATGCAACATGACAATAAAATGAATATATCTAACTCAATTTATTTATTTTATTATTGCATTAACTTAAGAGTTTTATTTTTGAATGATGAACAAATGTAATGGAATCAAAGTTAAGAGGTTTTGTTAGTGTAGAGAGAGAGAATTTTAGTAGAATCAAAGTTCAAAGTTCAGAATGGTAGAATTCATACAACATAATGATATTAACGTAATTTTAATGTAAATATATTTTCATATAATTATATTGACATAAGTTTAACATAATTACATTAAGTTATTAACATAAATACACAACAATGTCTAATAATTATGTTAATTTTTGTAAATTATTATATATAATTTTGTTTTCGTAATTATATGTAATTAAAATTTAATTATATGTACTTTATTTTTATAAATAATAATAAAACTATATATAATTAATCTAAAAAAGAAAAAAAAATTTCTTTTATAAACCATTTCAAGATGTCCTTGTATAAGAGAGATATTTATTTGTACGTTATTGTATTTATGAGAGAGAGATATTTATAGAGCATTTAATTTAATTTGTACGTCACTGTACATATGAGAGAGAGCTATTTATAAACCATTTAATTTGTACAACAGGATATATATATATATATATGAGAGAAAAAGCAAGTAAATAGACCATTTAATTTGTACGTCGATGTATATATATATATGAGAGAGATGGCTCAGAAACATTTATCTCACGTCAAGGAATTGTGAGAGCAAAACCCATTGAAGTATTCATGCATGAGGTTAGCTTATCACATGTGAGAGAAGTTATGGGGTCCACGAGTGGAAAGAATGACAGAGCCACGGCCGGAATCAGGAACCGGTATGTTTCCCGGTTTCCGGTATATTAAAGGAAGCAGATCGTCCTGGTCTATTCTTGTTAAAAGCTGTTGGACCTAATATTATGAAAGGAATCAAGAATCAGTATGTTTTTGCCGGTTCCCGGTATATTAAAGGAACCAGATCGCCCTGGCCTGGCCGATTCTTGCTAAAAACCATTGGACCTCGTATTTTAAAACTTGGAATCATTTTGGGTTGCCCACCACCATATTGATTCAGATCTGCGAACTAGATCGGCTTAGCCAAAGTAAAATCATTAAGAAAATGAAATCATGCAATCTAAAGCCTAAAGGGGGAGATTCGGATAATCGTGTCCTAATCCACCAT